CTCGATCATGCGAGGACGCCCCGCGATTACTTATCATTGGTCTTGTACACGGGCGGCGGGCGGGCGGCATATTGACTGATGTGCGCAATGCCTCCCCTCCCCCCCGCAGTTCCGGCCAAAACCAATACAAAATGCACTTTACACCAAAATCTGGATCATGCGCGGACGCCCCGCGATCACATTGCATTGGTTCTTTATAGGTACGGCGGGGGAGAAATTGCATGCTGTGTGCAGGCCCGCCATCCCTTAAACACAGAATGCTCAGTGCACTTTGCCAGGGACGGCGGCATATTGCCTGCGGCGTGCAGGCCCACCATCCCTGCCAACAACACGTGCAAAGCGATTGTGGGTGCACACACGCAAAGCACAATGCTGGACACCACGCCATCACTTTGAGCTGGCTTTTGACAGGGATGGAAAGGGGGCGACGTATTGCCACATGTGGCGCACCTGGCACGTGCGGCGCACCTCGCGGGCGTCGCGCACCTGGCTGGCGTCTGCATTGGTTCCCAATTGTTGTCGATGGCGGCCCCTGCCTTTGCTGATGCTCGGGTGCTCCTTATGTAGTGGGTGGGCGGGAGGGAGTGAGCGAGACAGCTTGCGGCGTTCCCGCTGGAAACTTGATCACTGTTCCTTGTTAAGCACCTCCCCCAACCGACCGGGGGCGAACCCGGAAACTTGGCAACCCCTCCCAATACCCCTGTCAACAACAACAACAACAACAACAACAACACTACAACATGCACTTTACACCAACATCTGGACCATGCGCAGGCCCAAACGATCACTCTGGCATTCTTTGTTGGACGGGCACGAGGGGGGACGGCATACTGCCTGCTGCGCGTTGGCACATCTTCCCTGCCAGGGAACAGTACGACATACCCTTTGAGGCAACACCTTGGCCATGCGCGGGCGTCCCGCGACCACTGTGCACTATCATTCGACAGGGATGATGGGGGTGCCCTGGCACGCGCGGCGCACCTCGCGGGCGTTGCGCACCTCCTCCTCCTCCTCCTCCTCCTCCTCCTCCTCCCTCTCTCTACCGCGCGTGCGAAGACGAGGTCGGGATCGCGATCCGCCCCAACTCAGACTACTCGTCGGAATTGCGCAGTTCCTACACTCAGCCTCCTTCCTGCTGCGCTGTTGCAAAAGCAAGGTGGCGGGGTTTGCCGCAGGCAGCTGGATACAAACTGCACTCTGTGGCTACATCTGGAGCGTATGCGGGCATCCCGCGATCACTTTGCATTGGTTTTGAAAGGGACGGAGGGGGTGCCCTCATATTGCCTGCTGCGTGCAAGCCAACCATCCCTTTCACAAGAACAATACAAAATACACTTTGCCTCCGAATCTGGAGCATGCGCGGGTCCCCGCGACCACTTTCCATGGGATTTTGTCAAGGACGGCCGGGGCGCCCTCACATTTCTTGCTGCGCGCAAGCCAACCATGCTGGTCAACAAAACTAATATACAAAATGCAATTTGCCTCCGAATCTGGATCATGCGCGGGCACCCGCGATCACTTTGCATTGGTTTTTGACAACGACGGCGGGGGTGCCGGCACATTGCTTGCTGCGCACAAGCCAACCCTCCGTCAAAAAACAATACAGAATACAATTTGCACCAAAATCTGGATCATGCGCGGGGCACCGAACGATCACTTTGCATTGTTCTGGACAGGGAAGAGGAGGGGGCTGGCATACTGCCTGCTGCGCGCAAGCACATCGTCCTTGCCAGAAACCCGTGCGAAATACCTTTGCGGCAAAATCTTGACCATGCTCGGGCGCTCCGTGATCACTGCGCGTTGTCATTTGATAGGGATGATGGGGGTGCCCTGGCACGCGCGGCGCACCTCGCGGGCGTTGCGCAGCTGTCTGGCGTCTGCATTGGTTCCCGATGATTGTCGATGGCGGCACATGCTCATGCTGAGACTCCGGTGCTACTTATGTGGTGGGAGGGCGGGCGGGAGTGCGCGACACGGCCGTCCTTCGGGGGGGTAGGTTGATCTACCCGCGACACTGCTCCTTATTAGTGCATGCCCCTTCCCCACCCCCGACGGGCAGCCAACCTGGACCCATGAGCCCGCCCCCCCATCATCCCTTTTCAAAAACAAGACAAAATAATTACGCTATGTCTCCAAATCTGGTGTATGGGCGGGCGTCCCGCGACCATGTAGCACTGGTTTTTGACAGGGACGGGGGGGGTCCCAGCATACTACGTGCTTTGTGCAATGCCAGCGCCCCCCCACCATCCCTGTCGACACAACAATTCAAAATACACTTTGTGGTCAAATCTTGGGTCATACTCGGGGGCCCCGCGAACACTTCACAATGTTTTTTGATAGGGACGGCGGGGGTGCCATCACATGGTTCGCCATGCGGAGGGCCACCATTCCTGTCAAAAGGAATACAATGTACACTTCGCGGCTACATCTACATCATGCGCGGGCACCCCGCGATCACTTTGCATTGGTTTATGACGGTGACGGGGGGGCTGCCCTCACATTGCCTGCTGCGCGTAAGCCACCAATCCCTGTAACAAAACAAAGCGCAAAGTAACTTTTGCCTCGAAATCTGGATCATGCGCAGGCACCAAGCGATCACTTTGCATGTGTTTTTGACAAGGACGGCGCGAGTGCCAGCATATGGCCTGGCCGTGCACAAGGCCACCATACTTGTAGAAAACAATGCAAACTGCAATTCGCGACTAAATCTGGATACTGCACGGGCATCCCGCGATCAATTTGCACTGTCTTTGAAAAGGACGGCGGGGATGCCGGCACATTGCTTGCTGCGCGCCGGCCAGCCATTCCTTTCATCTGGAGCATGCGCGGGCGCCCTGTGACTACTTTGCATGGTTTTTGACAGGGACGCCGGGGGCGCCTTCATATTGCTTGCTGCGCACAGATCAGCAGTCCCTATACAAGAAAAAAACATGCCTCCAAATCTGGATCATGCGCAGACGCCCCGCGATCACTTTGCGTTGGGCGGGAGTGCTGGCATCTTGCCTGCTGTGTGCAAGCCCACCAAACATCATGATGGCCACTCTGCCGCGATTGTCCGTTTTCGACAAGGATGTGCGCGGGCGCAACTGGCACACTATGTGTGTGCCCCGAACGTGGTGCACCTGACGCGGCTGGAGCACTTGGCGCACTTGGCGCACGTGGAGCATGTGTTGGAGCGTTCTGGAACGCTCTGAGATTATGATGTTCCAACCTACTCTAGCCTTGATCACCAGAATGAATTTCGAGCAACCAACAAAACACCCCCAACATCGAGGGTTTTCACGTGTCGGGCCCTGGGAGACACTCTTTCGACACTCTTTCGACACTTTTCTGGGTGCTCGAAATCATGTCTGGGACGTGGTCCTCAAGTCGGATGGGAGCAACATAACTCTGATCGGGCGTTGGTAGAACTGGGTTTAGTGGAACCTGGTTTAATGATTTCTACCGGGGGCGCCCCCCCCGCCCCACTTCCACTAACCGGAACTGCCGTCACCCGAACAAAACACCTGCTGCGGCAGACCTGGTTTGGCGAATCTGGCCAACTTAGAGGCCCCAGGGCCCTACCACTGACCGGGTCCCCTTACCCGGGGGTCCTGGCTGTACCCGATCTGAGAGTGCCCTGGAACGCTCTCCGGTGACACTCCTTCGACACTCTTTCGACGTGTCGGGCCCTGGGAGACACTCTTTCGATGTGTCGGGCCCTGGGAGACACTCTTTCGACACTCTTTCGATACTTTTCTGGGTGCTCGAGATTCTTTCTGGGATGTGGCCCTCAAGTGGGATGGGGGCGAGATAACTCCGAGAGTGCTCTGGCACGCTCTCTGGAGCGGCTTTATCCTCGCCCTGGCCCCGTCCGATGGCGTTGAACGCGCAGTTATTGCGGCGCCGACCGTGTGGGCAGGGCGTCCCGCTGCAGGGGTCGTTCGGCCGTCCGCGCCAGGGCGCCCAACTCCGCAAAAGAAAATGCGCTGGCACACAAACACCTCGCCACGGATGCGGCGGGAGGGGGGAGGACGCAGCCCGCGGGGCAGCGCCCGCCGCGCCGCGAGGCCGGGGAGCAGCGGCGGACCAGGGTGCCGCGGAGAGCGGCGGGCCGGCGCGTGGGGCAGGGCCTCGGCGCCCATGCTGGCCCTCCTCCTCCTGCGCTTCCTCCTCCTCCTCTTCCTCCTCCTCGTCCTCCTCCTCCTCCTCCTCGTCCTCCTCGTCCTCCTCCTCCTCCTCCTCCTCGTCCTCCTCCTCCTCCTCCTCCTCCTGTCCCCCCCCTCTCGCACACGCACTCCTCATGCAGAGAATGCGCCCAGTACTAGAAGTTGGGTCCTTCCCCGGGGGCCGTGGACGCGTGGAAGCACGTGCCCCGCGGGGGGCCGAGGAGAGCGGCGGGCCGGCGCGTGGGGCGGCACGCCGTGCCTCCTCTGGATCGGACTGCGCTCGGACTCGGCGCCGGGCTTCAGGCCTCAGGACCCAGGAGGCTGAGCCGGTTCAGGCCTGCCGATCTGAACGAACCGCATGGGCGACGAAGAGAAGCGGGCGTCACGCGAGAAGACATCGCGACCGTACGCCGCGGCTTACTCAGGCCGCCTGCGCGGCACGCCACATTGGAAGCGAAGGCGCTTACGCACGACCCTACGTTGCGCGAGTGTCCGCAAAGTCGACCCCGTGTTCTTCCGTCGCCCACATACTCCAACGTTCTGGGCTGCGCTGGCCTGCCTTCGGCGGAAGCGCAGCGCCGTGGAACAAAAAACACGTATTCCAACTTTCTGGGCTGCGCCAGCCTGCTTGTGGGCGTGGTGTGAAAGGGGGGGAGCGACAAACGGGGGGTTGAAGAAACGTGCAGCTCTCGTGCCCCTTTTGGGGCCCGAGAGGTGCACAAAAGGTGCACCAGTCCTCAGACCTCTCATCTATCGCCCTCCATTGCGAACGCAACGTCCGATGCTTTCTTCGGGTGAGGCGCAGCCAGGGAGCAGAACACACACTGCTGGCACAGCTCCGTGCCTGCGCTGTCACCCAGGGCGCAGCTGCAGCAGCACCCTCGCGAGCTCGCCTGACCTGGCCGCCCGCGCCAGGCGGTTCCTGCTGGGGAAACCAAATCATACCGAGAGCCCTACAAAAGCCAGCGATCGCTCCAAGACGGCCCAGGATACCCTCAAGACGGCCTCAGAAACGCTCCAAATGCCCCAAGAGGGCTCCAAGATGACCCCAGAGAGGGCGCCAAGAGGCGAAATACATGGACTTACATTCAGTTGTTCGATGTTTTTGGGTCCTCGCCTGCTCGTCGTCCGTCGCCGTCCACGTCGCCGCCGCCGTCGCCGTCGCCGTCGCCGTCGCCGTCGCCGTCGCCGTCGCCGTCGCCGTCGTCGTCGTCGTCGTCGTCGTCGTCGTCGTCGTCGTCGTCGTCACCTTCCCCCTTCAGGGTCGGCGGCGCTGGCCCTAAGGCCTTCGCAGTAGACCAATATCGGTACTCCCTGGACCTCTCCCAAGCTTTCGGGGGAGAGGGAGGAGGAGGCGAAAAGGAGAGGCGCGATGATCATCCTGCCGATCCACTCGTCATTCTGTCCACCGCGGGCTTCGGGAATGGAGCATGTAATGATACGAATCAGCGCCGAAAACGTATCAGCGCCAGGTACTTCTTCGTTCCCTCCCCTGCGTGTTGAGGTCTGCGGTCCAGAAGGTCCCAAAGCGGCATCCCGCGCAGTGCCGAGCACGGCTACGTCCCATGAGTGGGCACGGACAGGAGCGAGTGCCATCCGAGACCAAGGAGATATCTAGGATGGCACGCGTACCACCCCCGCGGGGACGGCCCGACCCCAGACGGGCCGAGAACCAGAGAGCCCGAAACCCACGAAGCAGATCCAGACCCCACGGAGACGAACGCACCTAGACCCAAGAGACCCAGGACCCCCAGGACCCAAGTACCCCAGAGAGACGCATGGGCCGACCAAGGCCTCGAAAAATGCCGAGCCAACTACACCATGCCCATGCTCGGCCAGTGCGTCGAATCCGTGTCGCGCCCCGCGCACTGCGCACGAAAGCGTTAGATCAATGAGGGCGGTCCGAGAGTTCGCACGAGCCCGCCAGGATCTGCAGGCTGAGCCGCGCCCTACGCACGGCTCAGAAAATCAATTTGCGCGGGACCGTGCGCCAACACATTATGAGATTGTGACCGCGGTCGGCACGCAAGTGAGGCCCACTGCAAGAATTCAGGCGCCATTCGCACTGCCACCAACGGCCGTCCCAGACGTCAAAACAGCGAACTCCTGCTTCAGGCGCTCGATGAACGCGCTGGGCATGTGCAGCTGCTGGCAACGACCGATCGAATCCGCTTGTTCCTCGACCAACTTCAGCTTGTCGAAGGGTGGCTCCGCCTGCCCAACCTGCTCCTTGCCTCCGTCCGCGAACTGGTCCTGCAGCTTCTCATTCTGCAGGGTAGCGTGGGAGATGGAGCAGAGAGTCCCGAAATCCTTCGCCTTGAGCTGCGGGTCGAGCTTCACCTTGTCACCGGCTTCGAACCGGCTGTCGCGCGAAGGCATTCTTCATCATGATGCAGTTGACGAAACCCTCAGGTGTAGCCAATAGCGCCGGCTGCCAGCCCCACCTGGGGCTCGCAGACGATCTTCTCGCCGTGCTGTCGTCGCCACCATGTCGATCTGCCCGTGGATCTCGACGCGCCCTGTCGTCGGGAGCTCCACGACGTTCTCCACGTCCAGCTGCAGGAAATCGTCCTGCGCCTCGCACTTGGGAGCCGTCCCGAACACCTCTGGAAAGCGCGGGACGGGGGGCAAGGCCACCTGTGACTCCACCGCGCCTTGGTCCGTGCCCAGGCAGTCCGACGCCCACAACTCGGGCTCGCACTCCGAACCGCTCGCGCCCCTGACGTCGAAGCGCCGCGCGCCCATCTTCCCGCTGGGCTCCTCCCGCAGCAGCACGTCCGCGCGGACCTACAGGCTCAGCTCCGTGAGGTCGTCCAGCCCCTTCTCCGTGCGCTCCTCGCAGGTGGCCACGGTGTGCACCTCTTCGGAGTCCGAGCCGATGTCGTGGCCCCTCGGGGCCGCCTCCAGCACAGGAAGGTGGGCTGCTCCTCCGTCGCGTGCCCGCTCTTGGCGCTGGTGGCGCCCTGCTCGCCGCCGTGGTCCACCTGGCCCACGAGAAAGGCCTGCAAATCGCCGTCGGGCCCAACGTCCAAGTGCGCCTCGGCGCTCCTCAGCTGCCGAGGCGCCCGAGACGCGACGGCGGCGCCGCGCCCCCACGTCGGCGCAGGGCGCGCTCCGCCGCCGTGAGCGACGGCGTGGTCTCCACGCCAAAGACCGCTTGATGAAGCCCAGCGCGCGCTCCAAGAGGACGATGTGTGCGAGATGAGCCCATCAGCCTGCTGGACTGCAGCCTTCTGCTGAGCCGCCGCGAGGGCTGCGCCACGCGCAGCGGCAACGATCGCCGAGCGCAGGCCCTTGCCCGTGAGACCTGACTCCATCACCGGCGAGATCGCCCCGAAAGCCGCCACAGCTGACTCCTGCCCACTGGCTTGAGCCAACATGGCCTCGGAGTGCGCCAGGGAGGAGGAGGAGGAGGAGGAGGAGGAGGAGGAGGAGGAGGAGGAGGAGGAGGAGGAGGAGGAGGAGGAGGAGGAGGAGGAGGAGGAGGGGGAGGAGGAGGAGGAGGAGGAAGGAGGAGGAGGGAGGGAGGAGGAGGAGGAGGAGGAGGAGGAGGAGGAGGAGGAGCCGGAAGTAGAGGAGGAGTAGGCGGAGGAGGAGGAGGAGGAGGAGGAGGAGGAGGAGGAGGAGGAGGAGGAGGCAGACCTCTCCCAGGCCGCGTTCTGACCAGAAGTTCGAGGCGAGTCCAGCCGTGACGACGAGGGCCTGCCAGGAGGCCCCAAAAAGCGAACACGAGGCAGGTGTAGCGGTGTCGGTACCTTTGCCTCCTCTGACCTACGTTGCCATTGGCGTTCGGGTCATATCATAGCTCGGCTCTCTGGGGCCGTTCGGGACGTCCTGGGCACCCTCGGAACGCTTTCGGCGAACCGCTGCCGCTGGACGGGCCTCCTGGGCCTGGAGAACAAACCGCCAGAGAGCCGACGAAAACGTCCGAACACCCCCCGTGAGTGGTATCGGTACGCTTCCAACACATTCGACGCCCTGACTTTTTACATAGGGGGCCCCCGAAATCCCGACCCTTTCCTGGGGTTTTCATCCCCAGCCGTCTTTTGACAGTCTCGGGGCCGGGCGAGGACCCCCAGAGGCTGAGAACCACGAGCAACATCCGCCCTGACTTTTTCCAAGGCGCGAGCACGTCTGGGTTGCTCTCACCGGACCCTTATCCCCACGGGCGTGGCCTGGGCTCCAGTGGCCGCTCCCCAAGGATACAGGCCACTTCCTCTGGGTTTCGAGGAATCATCTGATCCCTGGTCGAGGGTTTACAGGCCCCCCCTCCCCAGATGGGATGGGTCCCAGGGTTCCACAGGACCCCCCAGATGGGATGGGGGGGACGACGACGACGACGCCGCCGACGACGACGACGAAGACGACGACGCCGACGCAGACGCAGCCGATGACTACGACGACGACGCCGACGACGACGCCGACGACGACGCCGACGCCGATGCAGACACCGACGCCGATGCCGACGCCGATACCGACGTACACGACGACGACGCTGACGATGCCGACACCAACTCCGATGCCAATGCCAACGCCGCCGACGGACACGACAATGACGACGACGACGTCGACGACGACGACGCCGCCTACGCCGACGACGACGACGCAGACGTCGCCACCGCCGTCGACGACCACGACGACGACGACGACGACCGCCGATGCCGACGCCGACGCTGCCGCCGCCGACGCCGACGCCGACGCCGTCGCCGACGCAGACCCCGACGGACACGACGACGACGTCGACGACGACGACGACGCAGACGCCGCCGCCGCCGCCGCCTTCGACGACCACGACGACGACGACGCCGACGCCGCCGCCGCCGACGCAGACGCCGACGCCGACGCCGACGCCGATGCCGACGCCGCCGCCGCCGATGCCGACGCTGACGCCCGACGCCGCGACGCCGCCGACGCCGACGCCGACGACTCCGACGCGTCGCCAACGCCGACGCCGACGCAGTCGCCGACGCCGACGCCGACGCCGCAGCCGCCGAGCCGACGCCGACGCGACGCCGACGCCGACGCGACGCGACGCCGACGCCGACGCCGACGCCGACGCCGACGCCGATCGACGCCGACGCCGCCGACGCCGACGCCGACGACGACGCCGACGCAGACGCGCCGACGCCGACAACGACGACGACGCCGACGGACACGACGACGACGACGCTGACGCCGACGCCGACGCCGACGCCGACGCCGACGCCGACGCCGACGCCGACGCCGACGCCGACGACGACACTGACGCCGACGACGACACTGACGGCGACGGCGACGGCGACGTCGACGACGACGCCGACGCCGATGCCGACGCCGCCGCCGACGACGACGCCGACGGACACGACGACGACAACGTCGAAGTCGACGACGACGCCACCTACGCTGACGACGAAGACGCAGACGCCGCCGCCGTCGACGACCACGACGACGACGGCGATGACGCCGACGCCGACGCCGACGCCGACGCCGATGCGGACGCCGACGACGACGATGCCGACGGACACGACGGCGACGACGCCTACGCCGACGCAGTCGCCGATGCCGGCGCAGACACCGACGACGACGCCGACGGACACGACGACGACGACGACGCCGCCTACGCCGACGCCGACGCCGACGCCGATGCCGACGCCGATGCCGGCGCCGACACAGACGCCGACGCCGACGACGACACTGACGCCGACGACGACACTGACGGCGACGGCGTCGGCGACGTCGACGACGACGCCGACGCCGATGCCGACGCCGCCGCCGACGACGACGCCGAAGGACACGACGACGACAACGTCGAAGTCGACGACGACGCCGCCTACGCTGACGACGAAGACGCAGACGCCGCCGCCGTCGACGACCACGACGACGACGGCGATGACGCCGACGCCGACGCCGACGCCGACGCCGATGCGGACGCCGACGACGACGATGCCGACGGACACGACGACGGCGACGACGCCTACGCCGACGCAGTCGCCGATGCCGGCGCAGACACCGACGACGACGCCGACGGACACGACGACGACGACGACGACGCCGCCTACGCCGACGCCGACGACGACGCCGACGCCGACACCGACGCCGACGCCGACGCCGACGGACGCGACGACGACGACGCCGACGCCGACGCCAATGCCGACGCCGACGCCGACCCCGACGCCGACGCGACGCCAGCGCTGACGCCGACCCGACGCCGACGCCGACGCCGACGCCACGCCGACAACGCCGACGCCGACGCACGACGACCGACGCCGACGCCGACGCCGACGCCGACGTCGACGCGACGACGACGCCGACGCCGACGCCGACGGACGCGACGACGACGCGACGCCGACGCCGACGCGACGCCGACGCCGACGCCGACGCCGACGCCGACGCCACGCCGACGCCGACGACGCCGACGCCGACGCCGACGCCGACGACGACGACGACGAGCCCCCCCACGCCCACAGGGGAGAGAGGGGGGTGCACCAGCACCCTGCACCACGCCACGCCTACAGGGCCCAGATTGGCAGTGGGGGGGGCGGGGGGGGGGGCAACACTGGATCATCTATCCGCAACGGGGGCGGTCAAATGGTGGGGCTCGGGCTGGGGATGGAGATGGGGGTAGGGGTCCCTTAAACGATGCTGAACGTCTGGGTTTCCCTCCTCCGACCTGCACCTCCGCATCAGCTGCACGGGCGCCCTGGCGGCTGGCGGCTGCAGCTGCTGCTGCCGCCGAGCAGTCGTCAGCGCCCCCCGGAGCGCCGCAGCTTCGGCCCGCAGCAGCTCCCGCTCCGCCCGGAGCCGGACCACCTGCGCCTCCGCGCCCGTGGCCCTCTTGACGAGCGGCGCGCGCTCAGGGGGTACCCAAATCCCCTCGAGTCATGACGGATCTTTTTTCGCTATTCTCGGCCTCTGGGGGCTCGTACCGGGCCTCGGGACTGCCAACACAAACAAGTCAGGGTGAAAAACTGGTCCCAGGGAAGGGGTCCAGACCTCTGGGGGTCACGTCATGAACAAATCATGACGTCGGGGGTCTGGGTAGGGGGAGGGTGAGGTTTCTCAGAAGGAGCCTGACTCTTACAAGGCGCAGGCCCCTACACCTATAGACAAGGCCCGCACCCCCCTCTTCGCGTGGCCGACTCTTCACGAGCGGCGAACGTGTGCCCAGACATGTTCGCGTCTGGAGACAAGTCAGGGAGCCCAGAGCCCCGACGTCATGATTTTTTCATGACGCGACCCCCAGAGGTCCGGACCCATCCCCCGGGACTGGCTTTTCATCCTGAGTCGTTGTTCGACGGTCCCGACGCCCAATAAAGGCCCCCAAAGGCCGAAAGTGGCGAAAAGCCTCCCGTCGTGTTTTTTTCACGACGCGAGGGGGTCTGGGAAAGTGTCCCCAGTCAGGGATGGAAGGTTCTGGCCGCTTTCGGCCCCTGGGGGCCCTTATCATGGGGCTCGGGGTCCATGAAAAAACGACCCAAGATGAGGAACCTGTCCAGTGGAGGAGGAGGAGGAGGAGGAGGAGGAGGAGGAGGAGGAGGAGGAGGAGGAGGAGGAGGAGGAGGAGGGGGAGGAGGAGGAGGGGGGAGGAGGAGGAGGAGGAGGAGGAGGGGGAAGAGGAGAAAGAGGAGGAGATTGGCGTTGACCTCCTCTCCGACCTCGTGCGAACCCTCGGGACTTCCGGGGAACTCGTGCGGACAAAATCCAGACCTCGCACGTCCAGCTCCGTATCCTCGGGAGCGGCCAAGAGGGGGGTGTCCAAGAGGGGGGGGTGCAAATCATGACCGGCGGCATGTGCGCGGCCCAGCGGGGGGGCCAGGGACGTAATGAAATGAGAAGAGGCGCCACGAAATCTGGGGAGATATCATGGCCCCCGCCATGAGATCCACCCCCCCCTAGTCATCACCCCCCTCTTTTCCGCCCCCGATATCCGCGACCTCGGGGTCCAGATTCCGGGGCGCGAGCCCGCGAAGACGCGGTCGCACGGGTACGCTCCACGCGGGGCGTCCGCGATAACAGCGCCCCGTACCCGCGGGGGTCGCGGCCCCGGGGGGCCCGGCCCGCGAGGCCGCGGGTACGGATATCCGCTTTCCGCCCGCGGCCTTTGGGCCCGCATCCGCTTCTCGCACACGCGTATGGTCGGCGGCGTGGCGAGGGGGCACGTTTCGGTGCGAGGTTCGAGGTGTTCGGGCGTCTCCGTGGGTCGTCGGCGGTCTTCCAGCCTGGGGATGCGTCCTGGCGGCTGCGCCTCGCCGAGAGGCGTCTGCGGGGGGCCTGGCCTGCGTTTTCTGACCTGTTTGTCGGTTCCCCAAAAAGGTTTTCCAGCCTCGCGGTGCTCTCCAGCAGCTGCGCCTCGCTGAGAGCGCTCTGGGGGTGACCGAATCGTCCCGAGCGGCCACCAGAGAGCCGAGCTATGACACCCAAACCACCAGGCGTCAGAGAGGGGACAGGCCTTCTCAGAGGGCGACGGGGCCTCGGAGGAGCCCTTCAGCTTTCTGAGAAGCCCCCTGTGGCTTCGGAGAAGGCCCCAGACCCCCGACGTCATGATTTCTTTTATGGCGCGACCCCCAGAGGTCTGGACCCATTCCCCGGGACCAGTTTTTCCTCCCGAGTCGTGTTTTGACGGTCCTGAGGCCCCGTGAGGGCCCTCAGAGGCCGAAAGTGGCGAAAAACCTCCCGTCGTGATTTTTTCATGACGCGATGGGGGTCTGGGGCCTGGGACGCTTCTCAGAAGGCCGGAGGCCTTGAGCCTTCTGAGAAGGCCCGCCCCCTCCGTCTTCCCCCCTGGGCGCGCCGCCGGGCATTGCTGCCCCAGACGGGCCCACCGGCCGCAGGAACTTGCTCTCCACCGCACCCCTGGGGGCGATGGGCTGCATCGTGAACCCAGCGACCTCCTTTGCGGGGCCTTTGGTAAAGACGAGGTCGCCCTTTCTCAGCAAGCCTAGTCTCCTCCTCGAGTCCGGGGACTCGAAGACCGTGAGGCTCGCCTTGGTCACCTCGAAGTGCCCCGCTCCGTCTGCTGCTGGTGTGTCCCTCTTGATCTTGCTGTTGAGGCTTCGGACCTCGCCCTGGGTGGACATCTCCGCCACCGGGAAGTAGCAATCCCTCTCGTCCTCCGCACCCTCGTCGTCGTGGAAGATGTATGCGAAGCAACCGTACGGTGGAGCCTTCCACTTGCCCGCGGCCGCGCAGACCTCCTCGTTGGGCGGGATCCAAGCGTACTTCCGCGCCCCCCTCCTCACCATGTCGGGGACCGTCACTGGCTGCCACCGGCCCCGGAGCGCCGGCAAGATCTCGGGCTGGAGCTGCTCTCGCTGCCCGAAGCCCAGGCCGCTGCCCGCCGAAAGGCTCATCACGGCCACCACCTCGCCGGCGGCGTCCATGTAGACGAAACCGCCGAAGACAAAGAAGGCCGACTCTGGCGTCGTGATGGCGAAGTAGGCACGGGACTGCTCATCGAAGGAGCCCATGGCCGTCGAGTAGGCCCACGCGAACTGGGCCGCGCTCCGGGGGACGCCGATCGCCTCCAAGCTCTTGGCGCTGAGCGTCAGCTTAAAGACCGGCGAGATGCTTCCCGACGGCTCGACGTGGTGCTTTCGCAAGGACTCGACCTCGGGACAATCCCGGCTGGCCGTCCAGACTTCCTTCCCCCTGTCCAGGGACAGCCCTAGGCCCGTGACTCGGATGAAGGCAAAAGGGCCCAGCTGCTCGGGGAAGACCCTGCCGATCATCTCCTGTCGCAGGAGCGACGACGACTGCACCATGAAGTCCCGCGGGAGTATCGTCGAGCACGGCCTCACCACGACCTTGCTGCTGCGGAGCTTGTCGCCGACGTCCTCCAAGGGCGACAGGAAGCCGCTGCCCACCTTGCCCAGGCCAGGGATGTGCGCGGCCCGGGAGGCGTCCATGAGCAGGGAGACCTCCGCGACGCTGGGGATGCACGACATGGCGTTCAGGCATGTGTCGAGGACACAGAAATCCAGGGCGAGGCCACAAGCGAAGATGCGCTTCGTGCCCCCTGTCTTAAGCATCTCGGACAGGCCGACTCTGCCGTGGACCGCGAGCACGTCTGGAGGGGCGTCGATATCGTTGGCAAGGTTCGAGCACTTGAGCGACGCACACCCAGTCCAAGAACAGAGCGAGGAACAGCCGTAGAGCCGCTCTGGCCTCTTTCTGCTGGTGACGCGCTTTTCGGCGTAGCTCTCTGGGTACTCCAAGCTGCCGAAGGAATCGATGTCCTCGTGGAAACCTTTGAACACGACCTCTGCACGGCGCCCAGCTGTCTTCAAGTTCGCCATGCACAATGCAATGTCAGGGTAGAACTTGGAGCCCTCGGTGCCCTGCACGCAGTGTGCCGGGAAGGGGCCACCCTCTGGGATGAACGAGCAATGGTCCACTGGGTGGTAGTCCCTGGTGGCCACCACGAGGGCGCCACTCGCCGCGAAGTACTCCATCAACTTCACCACTGTGTGCACGATCTTGCCGCCCTCCGCGACGCCGAACGCACCACCTTTCGGGTTCTTCTCGTCGACTGGAATGAAGTCGTTTTGCATATCAACGACCACCAAGCAATCTTCCCGTCCAACTGTCAGTGCGCCCGTGTTGACGAGGTCATCCCAGCCACACTTCTTCGCAAGGTCCAAGTACTCGGCGAACAACTCGGAGTCAGGGCAATGCATGCCCCAGTCCGGGCTGCTGCTCATGGGTGCCATTCGGGTGCGCTCTCATTGTGTACTCAGAAACGACTCTGTCTGCCGAGGTACTGCTGGCCCTGGACGCCTTCAGCCCAGACGGCAGCGCAACGTTTTTTTGGCCCTGCTGGGACTCTGGAGACCTCCTCGGGCCCTCTGGAGGCCTCCGGGGCCCTCTGGAGGGCCTGCGGAGGCTCCTGGAGACCTCTAGAGGCCTAGACCTCCAGCGATTTGATCTTGGCCTTTCAGTGCTGACGTTTCTCCCCCGCCTCGATCCCTGTGGGGTGGGACCTCTTTCTGGCCCCAGGGCCATCCGAAACCGGTCTGGGCGCACAGCCAGTCTCGGGGAAGTGGTCAAGAGCTGTGGGGCCCGCGGGGAGGTAAGAACGATTCACCAGAGGTCTGGGTGGCAGTGCAGTGACAAGTCGATCCGTCGAAGAGCTCTGCACACGACCTGCGGCGTGGGGCGCTCGAGCGCCGACGCCGCGCCCAGACACTCGCTCGAGCCAGGCGGCGGGGGCACAACTCCTACTTCGGTGTGAGAAACTGGCTTCTTTTACCCCCCTCCCCCCTCGACTCTGGCAGACAGCAAGTCGGTGGGAGGAGCGTGGCCTAATTTCTCCTTCTCCTCCCATCTTCTTATTCCCAACCCTCCTGCGTTGGGTTCTCGTTTTGAATAGAGCACTGCTCGCGCGAACCTTCCTTCCCGTCCCTCTCCCCCCCCTGCCTTTTACATGGCTCGTCGCTGCGTTTCGAGGGCTGCTGGGGGCTGCGATCTGTGAAACTGTCGCCACTTTCGAGGGCTGCTGGGGGGCCCAGCACAGTGGGTACCCACGGCGGATTCAAATGGGACCTCGCCATCCCTGGGGGGCTGCGATCTGTGAAACTGTCGCCACTTTCGAGGGCTGCTGGGGGGCCCAGCGCAGTCGGGTTACCCATGCGGATTCAAATGGGACCGCCACTCGCCATCCGTGGACCTCGGGGCTGCGATCTGCGAAACTGTCGCCACTTTCGACGGCTGCTGGGGGGCCCAGCACAGTGGGTTACCCACGGCGGATTCACATGGGACCTCGCCATCCCTGGGGGGCTGCGATCTGTGAAACTGTCGCCACTTTCGAGGCCTGCTGGGGGCCCAGCACAGTGGGCACCCACGGCGGATTCAAATGGGACCTCGCCATCCCTGGGGGGCTGCGATCTGCGAAACTGTCGCCACTTTCGACGGCTGCTGGGGGGCCCAGCACAGTGGGTACCCACGGCGGATTCACATGGGACCTCGCCATCCCTGGGGGGCTGCGATCTGTGAAACTGTCGCCACTTTCGAGGGCTGCTGGGGGCCCAGCGCAGTGGGTACCCACGGCGGATTCAAATGGGACCTCGCCATCCCTGGGGGGCTGCGATCTGTGAAACTGTCGCCACTTTCGAGGGCTGCTGAGGGGCCCAGCACAGTGGGTACTCACCGCAGACTCAAAGGGGACCTCGCCATCCCTGGGGGCTGCGTTCTGTGAAACTGTCGCCCCTTTCGAGGGCTGCTGAGGGGCACAGCACAGTGGGTACTCACCGCAGACTCACTAGGCCTCGCCATCCTTGGGGGGCTGCGATCTGTGAAACTGTCGCCACTTTCGAGGGCAGCTGAGGGGCACAGCACAGTGGGCTTCCCGCACGTCTTTCTCCTGCTCTTCGTTCCCGACTCCCCATGTCCTCTTCGAGCCTGTAGTTGTCGCCCCTCGTTCTTGTATGGTTCTCCTGCGCGTCATGCCATTGGCGCGTGTCCCAAGTAGCTTACATATCAAACAACGGATCCTGCAATTCGATTGTCCTTGCAAGTTTCGGCCAACTCCTCGTTTCCCATGATACAAATGGGTTGGGTACGTCACAGGGTAATTCTCCTGCGCGGTCTTCAGCATTTCTCGTATGGCCGCCTTATGCTTCAAGATGGGCGTAGGTACCCTTCAGTTCATAGCGAGCTTGGTAATCCCTGCTTCTCCTCATCCTTCTTGTCCTCCGCCTCCTTGCCCCGTCCTCCTTCCCCCTTCCTCCTCCTGCATCCTCCCTCCCCTCCTCAACCGGACCGCGGGTCCGAAGCTCCACAAACGGGTGCCAACGCAATCCCCGAGTGCGCAGCCCTGGCCTCCTGGGAGCAGCAGGAGCTTGGTGCCTGGCCAGAATACTACCTGATTGCCAAGCAGTGGCCGCTGGAGGCGGGGAGGAGCTGTGCTGGCTGGGGCATAGTGCAGGGCCTACCTGGGAGGCCGAGACCAGCAGAATGGCGTAGTCGGCCGCGGGGACGCCCGCTCGCAAACTCCCTGCCCCCTCCTTCTTCTCCTCCTCCTCCTCCTCCTCCTCCTCCTCCTCCTTCTTTTGGACTTGGAGTCAGGATGAAGTGCACGAAGCGACACCCGCCAGGAAGAGGGAACACGAGACAGGACAAGGGCAAAGCTAAAGCGAAAGAGAGCACGCGAAGCATGCGGTGAATCCGGGAGCCTGCCAGGGCAAGAACGGGGTCCCGACGCCCAAGAGGGGCAGGGCGGGCCGAGGCCTCGCACCGTGTTGCCTCGGGCCCGCTAGGGCTCTGGGCTAGAGAGTTCACGAGCAAAGTCGTTGCCCATGACTCGGGTGACGTACGGATCCAGGGGCTCCCAGAAGGCCATGAAGTCCGGCTCGACCTCCTCCGAAGAGGCTCCCCAGACATGCGGCCATCTCCCCTGGAAGACCTGGAGGAAAGCAGAAGCAGCAAGACGGCACATGCCCTGGGGGTACGCCTTAGCCCGAGAGGTTCGCCACTGCCAATTGCCCTCCATGCCCGCAAGGGCCTCGTGGCCTCGAGGGCCATGGAAGCACCTCCCGCCCCCCCGAGCAGCCCGTGCCCCCAGGCCAAGAGAAGGAAGGTGAACCGAGAGGAGGAGAGTAGGCTTCATCGACGGCGCCCCGAAAACGCACTGGTCGATGAGGACCCCCTCAACCTCGGGCCGCCCGAGGAGGAACTCCAGCTCGTCGAGCTTCCACGCCGAAGGGGCCCCCAGACGGAAGGGAGGAGCAGGGTGCTCCATCGCCGCCGGGATTTCGAGGCGGAGGGCAACGAAGAGGAAGTAAATCGTCGTGCGGAGCAGCAGGTTCCCCGCCTCAACCTGCCTGGCTTCCTTGGGGGTAAGGTCGCCAAGGCCCCAAGGCTTGCCTGGGGTGCGGAGAGGCCTTGGCGGGGGACCCCTACACTCGGTGGTGTCACGGAGGCGGGCCTGCGACCAAGTCTCGCACGGAGGGCCAGCCCAGAATCCGGCGACCTTGCCGCCAGCCATGGCGCGATGCCAAAAACGGGTCGTCTCAGGCCTCGAAACATCACCGCGGATGGGGTCGTTAGCCGCGTCAAGGCTGATCACCCAAACAGAGACAGGAAAGGACTCGGCTGCCCTCTCAAACTCATGCTGGATGTCAAACTCGCGTCGGGCCCCAGCGAACACATGCAAGAGATGCATGGTAGGCTGGCCGGGTGGCCTGGGAACTTGGCCCGCAAGGGCTCTATCCCCAAAATCAGCTCGAGCCATGGGCAAGGGTTTCCAAGCACGTTTTTCCCTCGGGACCTGGGCAGGGGGGCAAATCGAAATCCAAGGGGCCCGAAAAGCCGGTTTCTTAGCAAAGTGTTCAGGTCTCCCCGCTTTACGGTTAGCTGTCCTGGCAGCGATGATGGCTTCCCTGTCCTCAGCAAGCTGCTCGGGGGTCTTGGGGGGCATCATGGGCCGCCAGGCCTCTCTGCACCTTGGACTTCGAACTAAGTGTTTATGAAGCCTAGCCATGGTATGATGCTGCATACGGCAGCTCTCGCAGAAGGTGCCCTTCATCCAAAGTATGGGGTCGTCCACCTTAGTGTGATTTCTGCTAACATGGATCTTGAGGGCGCTAGGGGCCGAGGCCTGAAATCCACAATCATAGCACATGTAGATAAGGTCCGTTTTCTGTTTTCCCAAGAACGGGGCCACGTATCCGTTATTATGGCAGAGGTCCTGTAAAGCGGTGTGCAACTCCCGAAGCCTCGCCGCGTCTTTGTTTAGGAAAGATTGGCTTTGTTTGGCTTTGTCGAGTCGGCTCTTGAAATATCCAGGGCTCGTACGGGCGCACTCGATCCATTCTTCGAAGCTGTGTCTCAAATACCCGTCCTGTCCCCGGCCATCGTTGAGTCTGTCATTAAGCCGAGCAAGATCCACCGCCAGAAGCGCAACCCAACCATAATGATAATGATACAGAACATCGAGTGCCGCTAAGAGTGATTGAGGAGCGTGTCTCAGAAGCCGGGGGAGGTGCCGCAACCGTGCCAGCGCAAGATGCTGGTCTGGGTGGGGCCTCTGAGCGTTGGCAAGGAGGGTTTCAGTGGTCTCGAATTTGGGGCCGTCTTGGTTAGACTCACCACGGGGTTCAACCGCACGATAAACACTATGGTCAGCTTTATTGAAAGCGGCAGCAGCCCGGCTTCCCAGTGGTCCCCAGATCCCGCAGTTAAAAGTAAGTTTGCTCATGCCCAAAGCGTCAGCATATGTCAACTTTGATTTGGTCCAGGGTCCTTCGCGGCTTTTCCCAAAAGTACGTCTGATTGGTCCAATGCCAGAATGCATAGATGCAATTCTAGCCGCCAGCTTGGGCCCCCAGCTGCCATTGTCTGTAAGGTGCGTACCTAAAGATTTGTGCGCTCGAACAACTCGAAAGGATTGTCCACCTTCAGTTGTGATTGCTGGGGCGTCGGCTTTTCTAATCAGGAGCTCGTGTTTCTTATGCCCCTTACCTGAAAATGTGATCAAGAGCACCGACTTGCCGAAATTGACCTTGAGCCCTGTCGGGCCAATCCGGTTGTGAAGGATCTCGATAAGCCGTTGGGCCTTCGCGATGACCTGCTCCGGGTGGTCCACTGCTGCTTTCGCGGTGAGATCGTCGACAAAGGAAGCCGTGGCCATCGGCGGCACCGCGCCTGCGCGTGCGAACACCCGAGGCTGGGTAAGTAATGGTTGGAGGTCAAGGGCGAGTCCTTCATCCGAGAGGTCTTGCTCGATGTTCCCAATCACAGTTGAGAAAAGCATGTTAAATGTATCGTTAGCTGGGGGCATTCCAGGCCGCGATCCAGTGCGGGGGGCTGCAAAAGTGTTTGTACCAGGCATCTTCCACCATGGCGCTCTGTTCACTTCGGCTACAATGGCAAGGAAATGACTATCATCACAATGCTGCTCCAAGGTGGGGGGGCCCTGCAAGGCCACTTTGAGCCCTTCCTGGAATGCCGTCGGTATGTCCATGCTCTGGATCAAGTCGAGGATTTCGTCGGGTTTTTTTTTGAGGCTCAAGACGAGTTGCTGCAAAACAATATAAAACGCCGCGTAGAGATCCACTGAGGCCAAAATAATGCATTTCCCCTGGGCCTTGGCAACCTGTAATCACGACAAGACCGAATGGGTAGCATGGTCTGTGCCCATGCCCTCGCGCCCGCCACGTTGAGTAGCTTTGAGGATCATGCCGAGGAGGGTCTTCCACCTGTCTTTTAGGAAAAGGTGGTGGTGTTTGGGTATGACGTTGCCCAGGAGAATAGAACGATAATCAATATCGAGATGGGGGGCTCCTTTACCTTTCGGGATCTCCGCAACAAGCCCTCCCTTAAACTGGATAGGCTCCACGCCTAAAGGGCTGGTTTTAAGCGCAACAGGGTGCGCCAGGCGAGCAAATTCGTGGGGCGCAGCGCGCAAAAGGTCGTCAGTCAGTTTATCGGGCCCCCCCGCCTTGCCCCTGGGACCGCCCGCGAATCGTCTAGCCAACTCAATTCGCGAGGGAACCACCGAAATGTTAAGCTGCGTGTCGCTCTGGATAATCGAGCTTCTAGCATTATACTCATCGATAAGGGCCTGGGGAGTCAACTGCCTGGCATGCTCTATGTCACCAAAATAGGTCTGCGTGTGCTCGGCTATCTTGGCAAGAGTAGGGATGGGGCTACCTTCCTTATCGTATCGCATGGGCCAAGTTGAAGCATATTTGGGCGGGCGGCCGCCAAAAGCGAGGACCCATCTAACAGTGTTCCATTCCCTCTGACTATGCTTGCCCTTGGCGTGGGCGCGGATTTCTTCACCTTGTCGGTCGAGGAAACCCTGTTTGTCGGCATTCAACATCCCTCTCAGGGCAGGCCTGCTAAGGCTCAAAATGCCCGCGATGGCACAGGCCCACTCATGGGGGGTCGTTTGCCGCCGGATGTACAGCCTGGCATGGGTACAAAGAAACTGGACCATGGGCGCAGCGGGCGAACCCTCCGTTTCTCCCACAAAATCAACCAGGTCCCCCCGAGTGAGGCGGCAAGCCAAGGCAAAGATTTTTCGAGCCTGATCGATCGAGGGAGGGTCCTGGGTCGAAAACTGGCTACGCCCGGCCTTGAGGCAGGCTCTTCGGATCCTAATAAGGGCGAAAGAAGCTCTGGACGTGTATGGTTTCTTGGGCCGCAAGGCCTCCACAGCAAAACATTCTATTGCAAAGGCGTTGGCAAGGTCCGTGATTTGCTTGACCTGATCATGTATGTTGTGAGCCCACGGCGGGACAGGGACGGCCCGAAGTAGGGCCCTAAAATTATCCTGGGCGTGTGGGTCCTTCATTTTCTCGCGGTCCCTAGGTTTGGTTCCTCGCTTGACCCGGCCCTGAGCAGTCCGCGCAAGATCGGCTTGGGCGGGAGCATGATCGATGTGCCTGTTGCTAGAGTCAAAGCAATGGAGGGGGGTAGAGCCGCGGACGTGGTCCCACAGGAACTTGTTAACGCATATGTAATCGATCCTATGCGTGGCCATGTTGTGCGCGGTCCAGGTATGTCCAGGGCCATAAGCAGGTACAAGAGTATTAGTGGCATGAACCTCCCCCTCCGCCAAAAACTTGTGCAGAGCGTCGCCATTCTTATCTTGGGGCTGGGGGTGTTGCTCGCATCCGACGTGCTCGCTAGTGACCTCGCCGAGCCTGGCGTTGGCATCTAATAGTAGGATGTCGAAGGCCCACTTATCATTCAATGACTCTACTGCCTTCCAAAAGGCATCCCTCTCAGCCTCAGGGGCCTGATTGTGCGGTGCGTGACCCACAGCCACTGTGAGATCTAACGCTGTGGCCTTGACCTTAGCCACTAGTAACCTCGGGGTAGCATAAACCAGAACACAACATTTTGGACCGAGAAAGAGCTTTTTGCAATCTTTATGCCCATATGGGACCGTAGTAGATAACCATAACTCCACCCCGTGGTTTCTGTCTTTAGGGCCAGATCCGCCAGAACTATAGATAAGGTAACCTTTCGCCTTCTGGGCTTTCTTGGGGTTCCTGGCCTCCTGGACGCCGATAATCAACCACCTCTGCAAGAGTGCCTGGGCCGCGAATAGCTCGCGTCTCGCGGTGGCCCTAGCCCTTTTGTTCTTTTTGGTGACCGAGGCCTTGAGCGAGCCGGGATTATAAGAAGCAGCCCGAAAGTCCAACTCTGCTTCTACTGGAGTCTCCTTCTCGGGAGAAGGTAAGTGATGAGTTGCAGCAAGATGGGGCGCTGTCTCAAAATGGAACGCGTCGCCCTCCAGGCGGGGATACGCGGCGGCTAGCTGATCAGCGCTCCCCAGCCATTGCCACTCGACCGCTGGATGGAAGTCCACCACTTTTCTCAAGGCTTCAGGGATCTTCGGGTTTCGAAGTAGTCCGTCAGGAGGATCCCCGAGGTAAGCTTCGGAATAACATCAACGAACTCGTTCCAAGGGTCTCCGGAGTGCCCGTGGGTATGGCTGACCGTGACAGGCCGCCTCTGGTTTGCAAGTTCCATGATTGTTTGCATCGGGTGGGCTTTCTCAGCGTCCTTGGCCGGCTTGGCCAACAGCTCGGAAAACTGGACTGCAGCAAGATTGTCAGAGATAATGCAGACTGGGGCGCTGCTCTGGTCTTGGAGACTCCATAACAGTGCCCATATGACTCCGTGAACTTCAATGCTAGTGCTTGTCCATCTGGAAGGATCCGAAGGAAACGCTGTAGAATCTGAGCTCTTAGCTGACAAATAACCTTGGCAAGTGTAGTGATCGCCGATCTGATGCAATACAGTAAAGGCCCATGCGCCATTCTCGGGCGATTTGGGGTCGAGAGATCCGTCTACATATATCCAGGCCCTCTCGGGCTCACGGGCATCGGCAGGGCTAGTGTTTGCTAAGGCGTACCTAGTATGCGGATGCAGAATTGTGTCGTTATATGGTTCCGTAGGCCAATGCTGGAGCGCCAGAGGATAGGAATCCAGGGCCCCTCTGACATCGAACCAAGAGTCCAGCAGGCAACACCTCGAAGCGACAGGGTGCGGGGCGGCCGCGACGCAGTTCTGTCGGGCCTCGTCCAGCTGCGTGGCGACGGAGGGGCCTGCCCCAGGTGGGTCGGGAGAGGGGGAGATCGGAAGGGTACATGCAATGGCAGTCTCCAAGTCATAATTCTGGGCCCTGTGGGGCTCGCTGTAAATGTGCGGAGGTGCCTGCTTCCCCCGCAGACGCCGCCTCGGGCCCCGTGGTTCCAGCGGCATCGCGCCAGAAACCAGATCAAAATACTCATGGAAATTCAACTGAGCATACCTACCCCCGCAACCGCGACGGCGCCTATCGAATTGGTATTAGCCTCCCCCTCAGAATTAGGGTCGGCCTGATCAAAAGTGTCAGTCTCAGGCAGACTAAAAGTTGCATTATTGGCTTTACCTTGGCCCCCTGGGCCCCGCGGGGCGCCGCGACGAAGTGGGGTTGAGAGCTCCGGTGGCCCAACCAAGCGCGAGGGGGACTCTTCTTGTCCCGTGAATCCCTCAAAAATCGCGGCAGGTGGCTCACTCTGCTCAGTCTGATGATGGAGTAGGTGTCGATCTTCTTCTTCATCGTCGTATGCCGGCTGGGCGTACGAGCAGAAGAAGGTGCCTCCCCACGAGACTGATGGGCGGAAGGTCAGATGTCGTCCTTCATGGTGCCTGGGGCGCACGCCGACTTCCTTGGTGGCTGCCCCGGCGGCCCCCAGTCGTGAGCGTTCTGGCCGTGCGCTGGGTCGGCTGGCGATGTGGGGCTGAGGGCCGCTGGCTGCTGGCGCTCGGGCGTTGTTGGTGCTGGAGGCGCATCTGCTGCAACCTGGGTCTCTGGTTGGGTATGCGATGCTAGCTGAGTCGGAGCGGAGTGGAATCCTGGCGCGTGGGCTTCCAGGAGGAAGGGCGCCGTGGGTGAGCACCCCGCTGCCGTGGCAGAGGCTGGGCTGCGTACCAGCGTAGGTTCCGACGGTGAACCCAGTTGGCTGGGGACCGTGACCTCCGTGGGAGATGGTAACGCTGGTGGCTGCCCTTGGGCTGCCTGCCACGGTGGCGAGCTGGGACTCGGCGCTGCTGTTGGCCCGGACTGCTCGGTAGGCGAGCTGTGGTGCGGGGAGGCTCTGGGCGGAGAGGTAGGGCATGGTATTCTGGCTGCCTCCGCCTGCTCATGGAGTTCGCGCTGCCTCTGGAGAAATGCGGCCGTGGCGGCCTGCGCAACTCGATCCAACCCCTGCAGGTGTGGGCTTAGGGTTGGTTGCGAGTCTGCAGGCGGGGTTGGTGCGATCGCCTGGGTCGGGGACGACTGCGCAGTGATCGCCCCCTGGCTCGGGCCCGTCCGCCTTGCTGCCTCCAGTTGGGCATGCAGCTCCCTGATCTTCACTGGGTCCGTGCAGATCCCCATCTCTGGCAGATGTCTCATGTACTCGTCCAGCGTGGCCATCGCTGGGGCCATGTTGTCTGGCGTCGGATGGTCCATCCCGGCGGCCTCTGCTGCCGCTATGTCGTGCGTCAGCTCGCGCTGGGCTTGGTGGTGGCCTGGCCCTCCAGGGAGTGGGGCTGGCGGCTGCCCTGGCCCCTGGGCTGGGGGCTGGCCCCCGCCTGGAGCCTGGGCCCTCGCCGCCTCGGGCGCGGGCGTCGTGGCCGCGGCCGCGC